GAAAGTTCGCTTGGATTCTCCGGTACGTCCTTCCGACGCCTTGATGGCCTCCTTCAAGACTGGCATGATAATGGTGAAGGAAGTCTCGTTGCAGGCTGTCGGGTATCACCACCCTGACGACACCGTCGCGGTCTTCGCCTTGTTGTAGCGTCTTGGGGCAAAAGAAGAGTAGCCCGTTCTCGTCTACTTCGTAATTCGCGGCTATCTTCGAGCATGCCTTCGTCCATTCTGCTGTCAAGACATTCACTTCCCCGTCCAGGTCTTCAGATCAGCAATCCACTTCTCTTCATCCTGAGCTTGCCTAATCCGCCCTGCCTAATCCTCTGATACCGTATGCGCTGTATGATAGACTCTTCCATCGCTTTCAGTGTGTGTCGTTGTCTCTCAGCGGCTCGCGTGATTGCGTTTACGCTGACGACTGTCTCGATCAATTTTGGTTTCAGCATTTCGCCCAGTCGGTTGAGGGTGATCAAGTCCTGGCGACCGTCCTCTGAGGGGACTATTTCGCCTTCTTCCCGTTGCAGCGCCGCACTTGCCAACTTGTTCGCACTCTGTGTGAAGGAAATCGTGCTTTGGCCACGACCGTAGTCGGTTCAATGCCTTCTGTCGGAGCAGTTGCAGTCCTGGTGCTTTGCAGTCCATATCACCCTGCATCTGACGAATTATAAAGTTCGAGTCTCCACAAATTACGACGCGCCCCCTGCCCATGTCCAAGGTCGAGAGCAAATCGAAACAAAGAATCAGCCCACGGTATTCCGTCTCGTTCACTGTCAAATCTGGCATATACTCGGACATGGCTTCCACCACCGTCCACTCCGGGAGTTTTCACACGACTGCACTATACGCACCACCGCTGCGCTTCAGCCGCGTAGACCCGTCGAAACTCACCACCAAGAGGTTCTCGTCTGGTTCGATCGTGAGTGGAGGCATGGTGATCATTTTCCGTGACTGTTTCTTGGGCGCTATCACGACTAGGGCTTCGTAGGTGATGCTTGCTGCGATTGTTCCAAGGATTTCGTCTTCACCTTTCACACATTTGGTGACTTCCAAAGTCCACCCTGATAGCAGCGCTGCCCACCTACCCAGTCGACCGTCGAACCCGTTCGACTTGAGCAACCATGCCAATGTCGAGAATCGTGACAAGACCTTGATCGATCTGGTAACCAGCTGTGAGTAACAGACGTCCAAGATTCGCAGAAGCGCCAATACTTCCTTGTCCACCACTCCATAGTTGAGCTCGTTTGCCTTCAACGTGCGACTGGTGAAGGTCACCGGATGGTATACACCTTCGTGTTCCTGCATCAATGCCGCTGATATGACCCACTTGTTCGCGTAAAGCACGATAACAGGAGTCCGGGTCGAAGTGCTTCAGGACAGGCGTGGCAATGACCTTCGCCTTCAACATAGTGAAAGCGTTCTTCGTCGGGGTGCGTTCCGGTTCGAAGTGTTTCAGGACAGGCGTGGCAATGATCTTCGCCTTCAGTATAGTGAAAGCGTTCTTCGCCCTCGCCCACCTATCGCGTTCGCCCCCAGTTAATTGACTATCCTCGGCCTGCGACTCCTCTGCGTCCATCTTGGCGATTTCATGGAACTCTGCTTCCTGCAGCTCGTACAAGATCGGGGCATAGACTGCGAAGTCCTCAATGAAGCGGCTGTAATAGTTCAAGCTTCCGAGGAACGACTGCATCGCCTTCAACTTGGTGGGGAACGGAAGGATCGCGATTGTGTCGAGCTCCTTCGTTTTCGCTTAAAGCCCAGCTGGCGACACTTCGTGTCCTAGATACGCCACCTTGCGTCGACCCCAGGAACTCTTGGCTACGCTGATCGACAAGTTCCACCGATCACAGACGTCGGGAAGTTTGTCGACACGGTTGCACATGCTATCCCACGAGTCACCCGTCACAAGGATGTCGTCCACATACGCCCTCCCCCCGAGGACCGACGGGTTAGGTTCCGGCTCCGGCTCTCCTTCCTCGAAGACGTCAACCGGGTTTGACCTATCCTGATCGGGCTTGATGGGGATGTGACCATACAATGCGTTGTCGACGATTCGTTGGTAGATCTGAGGAGCGTTCTTTAACCCGAACGGTGTGATGAACGCTGACACCAGCCTTGCGCGCGGGGTCATTGACACCACCCAGAAGCCACTAGCCATATCGAGGGAGCAATACCATAGCGCCTTATCCAGGCTTCGAGGAGGTCGTTGATCAACGGCATGGCGTATACCATCAGCCTCGTAAGGCTGTTCACTACCTGGTAGTCGAGGCAGAGGCGGATGCCGACCCCGTTATCCTTGATGATGACTACGATGGGTGACGCCCAAGGTGAGGTGGAGGTAGTGATGTTCTTTGCCGACAGCAGTCCTTTGATGAGCATGGACAGCTTCTCGCGGAATTGTGGCGCTACCCGTCGACATCGTTGAGCTACCGGCTTTGCCGTTCCGACATCGATGTCGCAAATAGCTCCGAAGGCGGGCGGTGGAAAGGCGTTACCTGCTCCGATCAGCAAGTGGCGTCACTTCCGGATGATGGGACGCAGTCGTTTTCGTTCCTCCGGCGTCGCATGTGGATCATCCACTTGTATGCATCAATGTCGCAAATAGCTCTGAAGGTGGCCGGTGGTCAGGCGTTACCAGCTCCGATCAGCAAGTGGCGTCGCTTCCAGATGATGCGACGTAGTCGCTCGCATTCCTCATCTACTTGTATGTTGTCGATGGTGACTTCCTTCGTGGTAGCCTCCACTTCCGGCAGGACAGCCATGTTGTTCTCGATGTCTTCAGGGAAGATGTCTCCGCCTTCGTGGTAGCAGACATCATCGTCCATGTCATCGTCAGCTTCCTCCTTCGGGTCAACTTGTGTCCCTCCCAATGCCGTTGATCGAGGCTGTTCTCGATCACTCTTGATCTCTCCCTTTGGTTCAGTCGTATCGATACGACCCTCTGCCTTCGGTTGAAACCCTGCCGACTCTTCGTCCACGATATCTGGTGCAGTGGTCGACTCCCTTGCCGACGCCGACATGACGATCATCGCCTTCGGGCATTCTCGTCTACCCGCTAAGAGCTTGGTCGGCGGCTCGTATTGAGGCCTGTCCATCATGGGTTCTGTCGCAGTTCCGACCACTTCGTCCACGCTTGCTGTTCAGTTGTGGCTTGCAACGCCAAGTTCTGCCACTCATCGTATCTCCGGGACCCAATCGAGACGAACCCTGGCGTCCGCGGTACGTGGTCTCCTGCCAGCCATATTACAACTCGAGTGTCGCGTTGTAACGTCACTGATCGCTCTGACACATTTGTTATGCGCAGGTACTGCGTACTACCCAGTCCCTTGACCGCGGTTGATACCCACTGTTCTCTACGGGTGACCCCAAGTTTCTGTCTGTCAGACGCAGATCTACGGATGGCGATCTCCACCGATCCTGCAACCCGAATTTTGTGGTGTTGATCGAAGGTGATCAACCTTGAGTTCCCGCTGAAGAACTGGCGGCGTCCGGACAGCTGGATTCTCACTTCGTCCGGGAGATATAGCGACCCGTCGGCCATGTCCAGACGGATTCCTGCCGGTACCATGAAGTCCATCCCCAATATCACTTCCTGACAGATCTCCGACCCAAGCGTCGAAGTAGTACACGTACGCTCCCGCGAGCGTGATCTTGATCCGGGTACGTCCTTCTGTCATATACGCGTTTTCCCAATGCCAACACAATCTTGTTTTTGGCTGTCGTCTATAGCGCATCCGACCTTACAAGCAAAGGTAGAATCCACAATGGAGACTTCAGCTCCAGAGTCGAAAAGGAGCGTGGCCTTTTCGTTGTTGATCTTGGCAGTTGACTTGGCTTGCTTGAACCATTTACCTGGAGCGTGGTACTTCTAGTACCCTCGCGATTCTCCTGGCAGTAGGTCCAGTTCCATGATCACATCCGATCGAGAATAATCATTCTCCCGCAAACTTGCGACTGTAAAGGTACGCTTCTCGTGCAATTCACATGTATTGTCGATCAGCTTACTAACCTTCGGTGTCTTCCGCTTCTCGACGAATGCATAAATGCAGATCTCAGAACGCTCGGCTCGTACCAGATTCCAACCTGGCGAGCGTTCTAATTTAGCATCTTTTCGGCATTAGCTGGCAACATTCCTGCGTGCTTGTTCGGGACGTATTACTGACGGATCAAGTTGTGGAACATCGGACACTTCTGGGTTCGTGCATCTCGCGGTAGACGAAAAGACAATGATCGGATGGATGCCCCTTCCTGCCGCACTTTTGGCACGTCAGCCGCTTCCAGCAACCCAGGTTGTCGTGTTTCGTTGATCCGCAGTAGGTACAGTTCTTCTGCGACATTGTGGGATGGTCAGCTGCGCCGTCTCTATGCGTCGTCGTGATCGAGTGGTTACGTCGGCGTGATCGAATGGTCCTCTCGGTCTTTAGCTTCCGCCAAGTACACGCGACGGCATTCGTCTTCTTGATCCGACGTGCTCACATCCGATTCCGACTCACTGCCGTCTTCTGCCACGCGGATCGCTCGTACCGCTCGCGCATTCTTCGAGGAGGCGCCGCCTTCTGCCGGAATTTGTTTGTTCCCGCATGGGTTTTCCCCTGGCGGGCCTTCGCGCGTTGTCGCGCCCGTAGCGTCTCCTCCAGATCTTCGGCGTCGGTCAACCGC